AGATAAACCTTGGGATCTTTCCGGTTTTTAAAAATAAATGTTATTGGGGGGGGGGGGGAGGGGGTTTCTGCTAAGGGCTGTACTTGTAATAAATTGGAAACTTAAAAATAAACATTATGTACTTGTGTTTGTAAAACCGGCTTGCAGCGAGTCCTTTGCGGGCGCCCTGCGTTCGTGTGGGCCTGCCTGGGATGTCTCGCCTCTGCCTTCCCCAGAGCCCCCCCAGACACGATGTCGCTGCCTTCCGGAGGGAAAACGGAGCCGCAGAGCGTGGGATCGAGGGACCGCCGACTCCGGGTCAGGTCAGCTCGCAGCTCTGGAGAACCCTCTTTCAGGCCCAGGTTTGGTTACACCAGCCCCTGCAGCCGGGGTGGGCCGGGCCCTCTGCGGCAGGGCCACCGTCACGCGCCACCTCGCCTAAGCTTTGCTGGGCACAGAAGGCGGCGGTGGCGCGGACGCTTGTGCTCTGAGCTGGCGCTGCCCGTTGTCCTCCCCAGGGGACGACGGACGGGGGAGGTCACCAGGAGGCAGGAGAAGTCCTTTTCGGTCCCTTGTCTCCTGCCAGTGTGACACTTGTCCTGCTGCCACAGCGTGCAGGGTGGCAGCGGTGCTTCTCCTGAGGGGAATACGAGGGGGTGATGGGGGAGTGGAAATGTCCCTGCTCTTTCACCGCAGCGTTGCCTGGCTGGCCATCGGAACGGCCTCCCTCGGTCGGTTAACGTGTGTTTTGCAACCGCAGCCTCGCAGGCTGCAGTTTCGAGATCGGCAAGGACCATTCCCGCTGAGCGCACGACTGCCAGCCCACCGTCCCAGTCCGGCAGCCAAACGGGGAGGCACTGGGCTCGCCGATGTACTGAGCTTCAAAAGGCAGCGCGGGCTGGGGAGGTGATGGACCGGTGCTGAGGTACAACCCCTCCTCCCTGAAACAAAGCGGTGTCTGCGCTTCTGCCAGCGCCGCGCTGCCAGGAGGGTGCTGCTTTCCTGGGTGTCTCCATTGTCCTCCTTGCTCAGGAGCCGCGTTGGGAGCGCCCCAGCCAGGTCCAGCGCTGCTGGGCAGAGGAAATCCCCCGGTGGGTTTGAGGGCTCGAAGGCTCCCGGGGATGGACAGATGCTGCTTTCCCCCGAGAAGCCTCATCCCCTCTCCCCAAGAGGTGGTTTGGCTTGCTGGGCACGCAACAGGACCTGGGTGAATCAGTCTGACTCAAGCTGGGATGTTTCCAGGCCTCGGCGTGGAGACCTCACACCAGCATCTGCTCCGAGACCTTTCCGGAGACTTGCTTTTTATAGAAGCCCCTGCATGGCATTAGTGTCCTGTGCAGGGGCTATAAATAGCTGTCCCCACGCCTGGCAGGCGAGCGTGCGGGGCTGGC